CCACTGCCACTGCTGCTGCTGCTAGCTTCGCTATATTTGCCCGGGTCCTCCGAGCTGGACTCCTCCCCAGCGCCAGCGGCTAGGACCTCTTCCTCACCAGCATCCGACCCACCCTCCGAGCTACCACCCTCTGTCCGCCCCCTCCGCCCTCCCTTGCCTGCGCCGCCCTTCCCCGCACCTCTGGTGGTCCCCTTGCTTGCACCCCTGCCCCGGCCTGCACCCTTGTTCCCCTTCTGCCGTTTATTTCCAACCTTGCGCCCCGACCTCGCACCCAGGTCGTCGTCATCACCGCCACCCCGCCTGCGCTTGCCAGCTGCGCCCTTAGCCGCTCTTGGCACCTCGCCGACCCACTCCTTGAACGCATCGTAGTTGGTGGTATCCTCGTCCTGTGGTGGGGGGGGCAGCAACACCCAGTGCTTACGTTCAAGGTAAAACATCAGGGTAAGACCCAACAAGCTGCCCTGACATTGAAAGTTGACATAACCCATCAGCACCCCTCGACCTTGTTAAACATGCTCCCCAGGTTCCAAACTGCTAGGTTTTCTACCTGGGCAACGCCCGCCTCGCCCTGCCTGGGACCCGTGCCGGTGTCCCCCCCTGCGGTTGCTGCTGCTGCGACGCCTGCTGTGCGGCCGCCACCCGTGCCACCATCCACGGCATGCATGCCCATGGCAGCAGCCTCTCCGCCACCCACCGCCTCTTCGTGGTCCCCAGTGGCTGCTCTCGCTGCTGCACCATCACCGTCGTTAGCCGCAGTATCCACTGCCTCAGCTCCCACTGCGGCTGCCACAGCACCGTGGTCTGCAGTGATAGTCGACGGTCGCAGGATCTTGTCCAAGACCTTCTTCTGAAACTGCGTCATGAAGTTGCTGGTGGCGGTCGCCTTGCCAGGCGCGGGCCCGCCGATGGCCAGGCCCTCCTGGCTGATCCCGAACAGCCTTTAAAGTAATACATTGCATTCTGCTCCTTGAACATGCTAGCTGATATCATGTTACCTCCCAGCTCAAAACTAAGCGGTATCACGTTTAGGCTCTGATGTTCATAGGAATCCCCTAAAGCACACCGGAGTTCAATACTTCCGGGAAAGTCTTGTTCCATTTTCCAGCTTATGGAACTATAGAGTTGCACTTGTTCAGGTCAAGACGGCGCGGAAGCTATTGGTCCGTCCTGTATCCTAGAGTCGTGGCTAGTGTAAACTGTATCAGGTATAACAATGGAATACAAGAACATAGACAGCGAGGCAGGTCATGATAAGGCTTGGCTGATGACATGCAAGTATACAAGTACGGCGCCCATACTAGAATACACGAGGTTCGCGTGGACCTTCGTTTCTTTTCGCTGTTCAATCTGTTCTGTGTATCCCTGCGAGTGGCCCACCGGCACGCTCATTGAGGGGCTTCTGTGGGTAGAGGCTGCTTCGCTAACATTCGGCCCCGTCTACCCCAAGGTGTTTTCCCGCCCTGGGTACAAGGAGCTACTGGCGGCTGACCTCACCGGGCCCCCCGTCTTGTAGAGGGCCATACACAAGCTTGCCTTAAGGCGGCAAATCAGGTGGCCTTGTGATGATGGGGATTGACGATGGAGGGGGTGGGTTCACGTGTGTGTCGCATTAATTCAGAGTACCGGCTGCCAGGGCTGCTTAGGGTGAATACCCAATGGGAGGCTTATTGTCTTAAACCCTTTGTGTGGTCTGGGTGGTTCCAAAAGGGTTACAAGGCAGCCGGCTCATACCGGCACAAGTCTCAAGGATGGTTGCAGAAGGATACACTGTATCCGCTCGATGACTGCATGCTCGGAGGGGAATGTGCTGTCAGTAGAGAAGCTGGTGGCATGGGTGGAGAAGAAACACATGGAAGTGAAGGCATGGGCGACAATCATGGCTGACATGTGTGTTAATTCGGTCACAATTGTAACCCTTCTGGAACAACCGTGTTTGTTATAGGGGATGGCGCATCTGGGCCACTCCTTTGAAATGTGGGTGCCGTCCACTTTGTGACCAGCAAGCACACATCAAGTGAACTGGACAGTCAGCAACCAGTCGTACTAGTCCCGCCGATACTGCTGTGGCGGTGTCTGCCTCGCACTTTACACTGTCGGCACTCTTTCCAACAATGCAGAATGTGAAGCCATTTGAGTACTGAACCGAAACTCCATACGGGCATATGGACTGCCAGTGTGCCTTTACGCATATACGCCTGCATATGTATGTACATGCGTGCCATCTGTTGCACATGTGCATGGGATAACTTTCGTAGTCATTCGTTGTCAACCAGACAAGGGTGCATCCATCGGCCTCATTGCTGCAGTTGCTCAGCGGTTGGTGAAGTGTGTGTATGGCATGAAGTACATCAGCCCCTTTCGGTCCCCCTCCGGGGCGGCTGTGCAGAACTTGCCCTTCAGCTCACTTAGCGGCAGCCCTAGGTCCTGCCACATCTCCCACTGGCTGCCTGCCCTCACTGTCTGGGCGGCCGCCATGTTGACCACCACCAGCCCCCCGCTGAACACCTGTCCCGAGTACACATCTGCGACAGTGAAGCGGACATCCTGAGCGCCATCTTCTGCGGGCAGGTGGACGAAGTACTTGAGGTAGGCCGCATACGTCCGAGTCTCGTTGCCGACTTCTGCCTATTAGCATGCCCAGCAGGAGGTCCGCTGCTGCTGGCGCCCATACTCAGCCCTGAAGTACTGCTCCTCGTCGAGTGCCTCGGCACGCAAAAAGAAGCGGGCCTTGGGACAGTCGGGTGGTGTAGACATGAGAACCCTATCCAGGCGGTCCGTGTCCAGTTCGTAGCTCGCACTGGGACCCAATGTCCAGGAAGCCACATCCTCGAATGCCAGGGCATACCAGTGCACTAGGCTCGCCATGGCTGCCTGGACTTGTGCCACTCGTTCTGGACTCGGGTAGACCATGTGGCCTCGTCCAAGCAGGTAACCGTTGGCTCCTGGTTTATCAAACCAGGCAGCCTCGGTGTTCACTGCGCGCCGTGCCAACATCCTCTCAAGCTGCTGGTTGGTCGTGTGTTTGGCCCTGGTCGCGGGGTCTGCCTCAGGTGAGCGACTCGGAGGCCTGCATCAGGCACAGCCACTGCGCGTAGTGCTTCTC